GACAATGGAGGTGAATATACAAGTAATGAGTTTACCGATTATTGCAAGCAAGAAGGCATTACAAGGCATTTCACAGTAAAGAAGAATCCCCAACAAAATGGAGCTGCTGAGAGGATGAACCGAACTCTCATGGAGAGAGAGAGGAGCATGCGATTTCATGCAGGATTGCCTGATAGTTTTTGGGCAGAAGCTGTTAATCATGCAAGTTATTTGATTAACAGATCACCATCTACAGTTCTCGGTTTTAAGAGTGCAGAAGAGGTATGGTCTGAGAAGTCGGTGGACTATTCCAAGCTCAGGGTATTCGGCTGCAGTGCTTATGCACATATTCCAAGCGATGAAAGGTCCAAGCTCAAACCAAAGTCTACACATTGCATATTCTTAGGTTTTGAGAAAGGAGTGAAGGGTTTCAAGCTTTGGGATATCAACAACAGGAAAAAGGTTGTCAGCCGAGATGTTGTCTTTGATGAGACAACCATGCCTCTGAATAAAGTCGAGAGCAGTAGGGAGAAGAAAGACGATGCTGAAATTGAAGCAACAAAGATTCCGTTAATCAGTTCAGACGAAGAAGCTCAGGTGGAGCAAATTGAGCAAGATGCTGAATCTGATGGGTTTGAGGAAGAAGAAGAGCATCAGCATCGTTCACCAGTTAGGAATCAGGTGGAGCAAGAAATAGGGCAGATTGAAGGCACTCTAATCCGCCAGACATCCCAAAGGGTTAGAACTCCAACCAACAATCCACCTGCATTCCAGAGATGCATAGCACTGGACAAACCTAATCGGAATAAGAAGAAACCTGACAGGTTTGGGTTTGACCAAGGTGAAGTTAATTATGCTCTCAACATTAGTCAAGGAGATCCAACTACTTATCGAGAAGCTATAGCAAGTGATGAGCGAGATAGTTGGATAAGTGCTATGACAGAAGAAATGGAGTCTCTTTACAAGAACTCTGTTTGGGAGTTGGTTCCTAAGCCCAAAGACAGAAAGCTAGTTGGATGCAAGTGGGTATTTAGGAAAAAGGAAGGACTACATGAACAAGATGCCGTGAGATTCAAAGCAAGGCTCGTGGCTAAAGGGTACTCACAAAAGGAAGGGGTGGATTATGATGAGATCTTTTCACCTGTAGTTAAGCATACTTCGATCAGATTGCTTTTAGCAATGGCAACTCAGCATGACATGGAGATTGAGCAGATGGATGTGAAGACAGCGTTTCTTCATGGGGATCTAGAGGAGACAATCATACTTCTATCAGATTGCTTTTAGCAATGGCAACTCAGCATGACATGGAGATTGAGCAGATGGATGTGAAGACAGCGTTTCTTCATGGGGATCTAGAGGAGACAATTTTCATGGCTCAACCAGAAGGGTTTGTTGAATATGGGAAAGAAAACCTAGTATGTCAGCTAAAGAAGTCCCTGTATGGCCTGAAACAGTCTCCAAGGCAGTGGTACAAGAGGTTCGATTACTTCATGCTGAAAATCAATTTTAGAAGATGTTTATATGACTGTTGTGTGTACTATCATGTATTCCAAGATGGGATGGTCATATTGCTGTTGTTATATGTGGATGACATGCTAATCGCTTGTCAAGACAAGTCTAGAATTCAAGACTTGAAGAAGATGTTGAGCGAGGAGTTCGACATGAAGGATCTAGGTGCAGCACAGAAAATCCTTGGCATGGAGATTCAGAGAGATAGGACCACTGGAAGGATCTGGATATCACAAGCCAAGCATATTCAGAAGGTTCTTGAGAAGTTCAACATGCAAGAAGCAAAGGCAGTTTTGACTCCTTTGGCAGCTCACTTCAAGTTAAGTGGGCAATAGTGTCCTAAGTACGAGGAAGAGCAGCAAGTAATGGAGAAGGTTCCTTATGCTAATGCCGTGGGCTGCCTTATGTATGCAATGGTATGCACACGTCCAGACATAGCTCAAGCAATCAGTGTCGTTTCCAGATACATGGGAAATCCAGGAAAGCAACATTGGGACACAGTCAAATGGATTTTGCGTTATTTGAAGGGTTCTTGGCGACAAAGGATTATGTTTGAGAAGCAAAAAGAAAATGCAAGGGTGTTGGGATATGTGGATGCTGATTATGCAGGGGACTTGGACAAGAGAAGGTCAACTTCTGGTTATGTGTTTACATGCGCAGGAGGACCGATCAGTTGGAGAGCACTACTGCAACCAATTACAGCTTTGTCGACCACAGAGGCAGAGTATATTGCATTGGCCGAAGCTGGAAAGGAAGCAATTTGGCTTAATGGCTTGGTAAGTCAAATGGG